TTTTGCCATTTAGTAGCATCTCCTTATGGTTTTAAATAAGCATTTTCTTAATCACTAATGACAACTGATGATAAGCCATCTTTTCATGTCCTTAGTTGCTATTTGTGAAGTATTTTTAAATCTTCTATCCTTTTTTTTTTTTTGAGACAGAGTCTTACTCTGTTGCCCGGGCTAGAGTGCCGTGGCATCAGCCTGGCTCACGGCAACCTCAAACTCCTGGGCTCAAGCAATCCTTGCAGCCTCCCGAGTAGCTGGGGCTACAGGCATGCACCGCCATGCCTGGCTAATTTTTTCTATATAGTTTTTAGTTGGCCAATTAATTTCTTTCTATTTTTAGTAGAGACAGGGTCTCGCTCTTGCTCAGGTTGGTCTCGAACTCCCGACCTCGAACAATCCTCTGGACTCGGCCTCTCAGAGTGCTACGATTACAGAACTGAGCCACTACGCCTGGCCTAATCTTCCATCCATTTTTAAAACTGGGTTACCTTCTTCATGAGTTTCAAGTGTTCTTCTGAAGTTTTAAGAATTCTTCATCTACTGTAGATACAAGTTGTTGAATATGTTTTGCAAATATATGCACCTAATCTATGGCTTGTCTTTTCATTTTCTTAAGTGTCTTTTAAAGAGCAAGTTTTTAACTTTGAGTAATTCAAATTTATTCTTATATTTATAATTCATTTTTTATGTCCCATCTATGAAATCTTTATGAAACACAAGTCACTAGGGATTTTTTACTATATTTTCTTCTAGAAGTTTTATACATTTAGCACTCATATTTGATCTATGACATTATCTTTTGAATCTTGAGTTAATTTTTGTACACTGTGTGAGGTAATAGTCGTGGTTTATTTTTTGGCATATTGCTAATCCAAGTGTTTCAAAACCACTCACTGAAAGATTATAGTTTCCCAAATGAAATGTCTTGAAACTGTGTCAAAAAATTAAATGGGCCAGGCACGGTGTCTCATGCCTATAATCCTAGCACTCTGGGAGCCCGAGGCGGGCGGATTGCTCAAGGTCAGGAGTTCAAAACCAGCCTGAGCAAGAGCGAGACCCTGTCTCTATTATAAATAGAAAGAAATTAACTGGCCAACTAATATATATAGAAAAAATTAGTCAGGCATGGTGGCGTATGCCTGTAGTCCCAGCTACTCCGGAGGCTGAGGCAGCAGGATTGCTTAAGCCCAGGAGTTTGAGGTTGCTGTAAGCTAGACTGATGCCATGGCACTCACTCTAGCCTAGGCAAGAAAGAGAGACTCTGTCTCAAAAAAAAAAATTTTTTAAAAACTAAATGGTCATATACACATATATGTAACAACCTCTAGACTCTCTGAAACAACAGTCATAGTTTTATTTTTTTATTGACTTTATGTTTTTTATTTTTTTAGTTTTAGTTTTTATTTTTAGTATTTATTTTTAGTTGTTTTTTTATTGACTCACAGTTTTGCCATAACTTTCCTGCACAAATGTTTGCCTTCCTATTGGTCTTAATTTCTTTTGTTACTGAAGGTGGCATGTGCCACCTAATCATGAAGGTCATCCAGGTTCTTAATCATGTTATTTCCTAAAACAAATCTAATACTTTCTTGAAGATATTCTTATCAGCATTTTCTAAGTTTCTATTTTAAATTAACATTACTTTCTAGTCTTCCTATGTAGCTGTCATCCTAAGATTCCCCACCACTATCTGGAAACAAGTTCGCTTTTCTAGATGATATCTCCTGCTTCATGAATTCCCTTTTCATTTTCTGGAACACAATCTCAAATTCACCAAGACTGTGTAAGAGGTCAACTTCCTGCATCATTACATGTTTCAATATATTGTATATTTTATAAACATACTTTATTTGTAATTTGGTTAGCTAACCTCATCCTGACTTTAGAAACAATTATTAATACATCCAATGTTTCTGATATCTCTGTGACATCACACTGATTTTATATTCTTCCTACATAAAATAGGAAGCAATGAAAAACCTTTAAAAGCATTCAGGGTATCTTCTTTAATGTTCAGAAATGTCAAAATGATGTGATATGAATCACCTTAAAATTGTTACTGCCTGGTGGGCCCTTTCTTATCTGAAATTTCATGTCCTTCAGCTATGTAATATTTCCTTTCATCATTTATTTCTTTTATTTTGTTTTCTTCAACTTCCCTAAATCATGTGTAACTTCTTTTTCTCATTTTCCATCTATCTTTTTACAAAACGTATAAGAGAGTTCAACTCTTTTCAGTTTTTATATTTATTAATATTTCTGTTGTCTGTCTCTGGTCTCAGCAATATTTTTTCCTCCAAGAACTCTAACATCCCCCCCTTCTTCACTGTTTCCCTATCATTACAAGAAAACTGATGGCTCCTAAAGAGGGAATAGTAAGCCATGTTTTTTAATAATGAATTGTACCGAGTAAACCAAAAAGTATTTTGACAACTGGCTAACTTTAGAGTTTAATTCTGGTCAAGGGTAGGGCATAGGATGAAGACAATAATTTAAAAATCAAGGAAGCCTAAGAGATAGACAGTATTCCTGCTTATGAGCACTTTTGTAACTTATTGCTTTGCAATGGCAATGTGTTGTTTTAAGTATGAGAGTAAATTCAGTAAGGAGACATGGATAGAGCTCGAAGTTCTGTATTGTATTTCATTTTAAACCTTTAAAACTTTATCTATACAAAAATCATTAAGGGACACTCTACAAAAAAGACACCTGCATTTGAATGTTTATAGCAGCACAATTCATAACTGCAAGGGTGTAGAAACAGCCCAAGTGCCCATCAATCCAAGAATGGATTAATAAAATGTGGTATATGTATACCATGGAGTATTATTCAGCTCTAAGAAACAACGGTGATATGGCACATCTTATATTTTCCTGGTTAGAGCTAGAACCCATGCTAAGTGAAGTATCCCAAGAATGGAAAAACAAGCACCAGATATACTCACCAGCAAACTGGTATTAACTGAGTAGCACCCAAGTGGACACATAGGTACTACAGTAATAGAGTATTGGGCAGGAGGGAGGGGGTGGGTATATACCTACATAATGAGTGAGATATGCACCATCTGGGGGATGGTCATGCTGGAAACTCAGACTTGTGGGGGAAGGAGGGAAAGGGCATTTATTGAAACCTTAAAATTTGTACCCGCATAATATGCCGAAATAAAAAAAAAATCATTAAGGTATATAAAGACAGTACGTCACTTAAACACTAAAATAGTAAACAGAACAGCCTCACACTGGTCACGAAACAGGAGAGATCAAGAAAAGACCCAAGTGTTAGTATATCTTAATTTACATTATAGGTGACATTTTAAACCAGTAAGAGAGTCTGTATTTCTCAGTAAGTGATGGTACAACTGGCAAGCCATGTGGGAGAGAAATGATTCCCTACTACAAATGTCATATCAAATAAATTTCAAAATATATTAACAATTTAAATTTTTAAGTGTATAAAAGTACCAGAAAATAATCTAATTAAATATTTTTGTAATCTTAAGGGAAAAGACTTTCTAAGCAAGACTTCAAAGGTGGAAACCATAAAAGAAAAAGACTGCTAGATTTAACTATTTCTGCTTTTTCCTTTTTGGGGGGAGGAGGGGAAGGGGTCATGAACAAAATTAAAATACAAAATTATAAGCTGGAAAAAATAAAGCTCTTATAAAATGTAGGAAAAAAATACAGCCACTTCAATAAAAGTTAGCAAAGAATTCAAAAAGGCAATTTACAGAAAAAAGTTTATGACAAATGCTCAATAAATGTATCACTGAAGAAATACAAATTTAAAACAAGATATCCATTTCTGCTCATTAGTTTGACAATTTTAAAAGATTTTAAATGTCCAGTGTGAAAGAGAATAGAAAAATTGATACTATCCAACTATTTACACATGTCTAAGTTGGTAGGATTCTAGTAACACCTACAAATGCTTAAATGCACCCACTGTCACAGTAATTCCATTTTTAATAGCCTATCCTGAACATGGATATTCATCACTGTATTGTTTATAATTTTTAAAAAACCCAAAAAGGCTAAATGTCTAACCAAAATCATTATAATAATATGAAGGCCACTAAAACTAACATAATGACATAATGTAGATCTACAACTAATGATATGGAATGCAGAATATGACCTTATGATAGTACATGTTTACAATTTATAATATCACATATACAATAGTTCCATTTCTGTAAATACATATACGTGTATGCACCAATGTGTAGTCATAAAAAATCCTGAGAACATACATTGAAATATTAATCTCTATTGAAATTAGTACAGAGCATACAATAGGAAATGTAAATAAAAACTACTAATAAAGTAATATTCATCCCTTGATTATGAAACAAGAAAACCTTTTCAATTATATGGTAAAATCATATTCAACATATTTGACAAAAACACAAAGATATAATAGAAAGGGGAAAAAATTAAGAATGAAATAATATGTAACTTGGGTCTACATCTATATCATATTTTATCTAAAAGGAAAAACAAGCTTTTTAAAAGAGTACATGATGCTCAGCTCTGTCACGCCCCTATTTTGTCCCCAAATCTCCAACCACAACCAGAGGGTCTTATTGCAAACATTTCCTTTTAGAAAACATGATGGATTATATAGTTTATCTGTGTTCTTCTCACGAAATACCTGTGTGTGTGTGTGTGCGCACGTGCACTCACATGCTTGCAAATGTACATATGTGGGTAGAGGAAATATAGAAAATGGATGAAACTCAAAGGTTCGAAGGTTGGAAGTTCAAGTAAGAGTGTATGACTCAAATTTAGCACAAAAAAGCCATTCTCAGAAATTTTTTAAAAGGGGTGTGTGTGTGTTTGTGTGCACGCATTCCTATCACATATGCCAGACAGAGCATATGGGATAGTTAAGAATTCTCAAAATTCTTATTCGATCATTGATCAGGATTAAAGTAGGTATTATTTTAAAACAACCATTTTTCCAAAAGATGATACCACTGTTTTAACTCTCAGTTAATACTCACTGTATTCCAGCTTCTTTCTCTTCTTTTTCTCTTTCAATTGTTCTTCCTCTTCCTTGACTCCTTCTTCTTCCTCCCTTGCCTCCTCTCCCAGAGTATCATAAAATACTGGATCTCGATGGGCAGACTTCCTCTGAAAATGCTTCGCTTTGGATCCCCCTTTGACAAGCACAACTTTTCTTTTCAAACAAGTGCAACCAAACATGCAGTCTGGTCGGCGGCAGTGAGCAGGTTGGCGTTTCTCCAAAGCTAGACTGGAGCATACACAACCCAGTCGACAGAAGTCATTGTTGCAAGGAGGAGCTCGTTTCCTTATGATTGTGTGGATAGGTTTAGTTTTGAGAGATGCCTAAAATTAGAGTAGAAAATTACAACTCTACCAAACCAGCCTCATGTAACAGCAACAACTTACAGTCATATATTAGTCTGTCTTTGTCTCCTTTTTTTTTTTGGAGACAGAGTCTCGCTTTGTTGCCCAGGCTAGAGTGCGTGCCACGGCGTCAGCCTAGCTCACAGCAACTCCAAACTCCTGGACTGAAGCAATTCTCCTGCCTCAGCCTCCTGAGTAGCTGGGACTACAGGCATGTGCCACCATGCCCGGCTAATTTTTTCTATATATATATATTAGTTGGCCAATTAATTTCTTTCTATTTATAGTAGAGACGGGGTCTTCGCTCTTGCTCAGGCTGATTTCGAACTCCTGACCTCAAGAGCGATCCGCCCGCATCGACCGCCCAGAGAGCTAAGATTACAGGCGTGAAGCCACCGCGCCCGGCCTGTCTTCTTCTCTCAAGTATAACAGCATAAGACTAACACAGATTCAAAGGACAGAACATGAATATAACCAGAGCTCTGAGCAATCTCCCATTCTAATGCATAGCACAGACAAGAGAATATTCTTGTTAATTATAAGCAAACTTAACAAGGATGGATTTATTCTCAGTAGATATTATACATAATGTTCTAATGCAGATATTAACAAACATAAGATCCATGGGCCAAATCCAGCCAGTTTCATACCTAGAACCCAGCCAGGCTCATAGGCATACATATTGTGTGTGGCACAACAGCAGATCTGAATTACTGCAACAGAGACTGTATGGTTTGCAAAGCCTAAAATATTTACTATCTGGCCCTTTACAGGAAAAGTTTTCTAGCCCCTGGTATAGGGTCCCATTTAGTCCCAACATCTGATGATCTTCAGCTCCAGAATTCAGTCACAGAACTTAAAAATGGAAGGTAAAGTATAGAAATTTCTGACAAAAAATTATTAACATGTTGCAGTGTCATTTCACATGCACGGGAGGCTGCTAAGATAGGTGCATCAATAAATGAAAAAGTCTTAATATAAAATTTACAAAAGATAAAAGTTTTTCCTCCATGAGTTAATTTTCCGGATTTTTGGGGATTTAGTACCTTTTAAACAGAATTTTCAAAATTGTCTTAACAAGATCAGCAAATGGGCCAGGCACAGTGGCTCACACCTGTAATCCTAGCACTCTGGGAAGCCGAGGCGAAAGTACTGCTTCAGCTCAGGAGTTCGAGACCATCCTGAGCAAGAGCGAGACCCCATCTCTACTAAAAATAGAAAGAAATTAGCCAAACAACCAAAAATAGAAAAAATTAGCTGGGTACGGAGGCGCATGTAGTCCCAGCCACCTGGGAGGCTGAGGCAGGAGGATTGCTTGAGCCCAGGAGTTTGAGGTTGCTGTGAGCTAGGTTGACACCATGATACTCTATAGCCCAGGCAAGAGACTAAGACTCTGTCTCAAAAAAAAAAAAAATCAACAAATGTACTTCCCCAATATGCTGGAGAAGGAAATTAGACATTTTCAGAATGGCCAGCTGCCTTTATACAGGAGAGGGATATTATTCAAAGTGAAATTGTACTATCTCCCTCTGTTGGCAAGAGAGATCTGTACTTGAGTGTCTAGTTAGCAAAGAAGAACAAATGGGGAAGACAGCTCCTTATTTGTCACCACGGTAACTAAATGCTGAAAACTAGCTGATCATACTGCCAAAAAGCCCCATTCCCATTTCCCCTGACTAACCTCACTCTATCATGCCAAGCACTAATATGCTTCTGGAAAATAGCAGATACTTACTTGGGCTGTAAGCAGAGTTGTTAAAGATACATCTGCTCGTTCTTCTGTGATATAGGTCCTTGGTTTTCCTTCCCAAAGTGCACAGTCTTCCAGGTCCATTAGTTTCACCTGAGATTTAGACAAGCCCGGAGGGCGAGTTCCTTGTTGCTGTTGTTGTTGCTGCTGTTGTGCCTGCCGCAAACTAATCTGCTTTGGAAATACATTTTCATCTAAAGTTGGCACAACAAGGTTATTCACCTGATTTTCTGAGATGGTGCTTGAAAAATTCTTGGTAACCTTATCTCCTAGAATCATATGAGAGTGTTTTTGCTTTGGTGAAACAGAGTATGGTAAAATGGATTTATAAGATGATTTAGTTCGGCCACTAAAAGTTGCCTGTTTGTTTTGAGACTTTGCCTTTCGAGAGGCAGCAGGTACAGAATGAGGCTTCAAAGAGTAAGAGGTAGAAGGGGATATGGTAGATTGTTTCTTTAGTACACTATCAAGTGTTCGTACATAGCTGGTACTCTTGGTGGGAAGCTGGTATACCACAGGAGATGTGGGAGCATTGGCAGAGAAACCCATGTTTGTTTCCATTAGCTTGCCTTCGTTTTCCAAGTATTCATCTAGCTTATCACTACAGAAAGCAGAACGGTTTTTCAGTGAACTTTCTGAATTTCCACCTAGAAATAAGACACAAGATACTTAAGGAAATCTAGGGCAGATCTTTAGATCTCTAGAAAAACACACTTTAAAAAAGGCCAGAAGTATTCAGCCACAAGCTGCTGAATCTTTTAAATTATCCCTCCCCAGAAAGAAGTAAAAACAGAAAACGAAGTAAAGAGATTGAGTCTTAGACACTAATTACATTAAAATACATTCTCTAGTCTCAAACATCAACTACATTAAAATCCATTCTCAAACATTATCTTACACTAAAATTATGAAATTGCATAATTTGTTGAGCACAAATTTTTGCAAAGTGCTAACAACAGTAATTAACCCAAGAGTCTTCAACCTTTGACAACTTTTGACCTAACTGTTGAGACTGGGGATAAGTAAAAACATAACAGCAAAAAACAGAGTTAAATCAAAGCAGACCTCAACAGAATGCCAAAACATTATTTAAGTGATCAGAGTAGCTCGGTCTGATAAAAACACTAGGGAAGAAGGACGGCCACAAAAAGAGAAGTATATTATTTAGTTGTGTTTTTTTTTTTCCTCTCCTGCCCCCCTAATATTTAGTTTTTAAGGAACAAAAACATTAAGTTCAGCAGAGAGATGTGTACTACACTGTTGTAACACTGAACAAAGTTTCAAAGGTGAGAAAAACAATTTTGGACAAATGGTAAATTTACCTGGTTAGAATATAAACCGCAAACAAGTGCAGGGAAAAATGAAAAGTACTAAGAAAGGAGACCAACAGGCAGGCACACAAATGCCTGGATTAAAAGTCCACTTTGAAGTATATAGTTCTAAAATAATGTTTGAGAATGACGCTTTTTGTAACTGTAGGAATAAGAGAAATACAGCTAAAAAGACTACAGGGATTATTTAAGCCTGACACAATCAAGGACTAAACCCTAGGGTCACAAGCTGTAAGAAAATCAGCTAACAGATAAAAATCGGCAAGATAATTATTTTCAGTACATGTTAAAGCATGGAGAAAAGGAATAAAAGAAAAACAACCAAGCCTTACTTTAACAAAAAGTATTGGCTATATGTTTCAAACCACATTTAGAATTTTAAAAAAACAACACTGATTACCTTCATTCCTAGATGCAGAAGCACTATGAAACTTTCCCCTCCATCCCTTGATCTTGGTGAAGTCATTGGTTTTCCCTGTCCTAGAAACAAATGGAAATCCAGCATCTATAAAAGAAAAAAAAAAAGATGACCAAAATTCTAACAAGTCAATATTATGGATCTATTTAATTAATAAGACTAAAATACATAAATCACTTATTAATACCATGCCAACAGACAAAAGAGCTACCTTAGAATATCCTGTCTTCAATAATGGTAGCTTTTTATTCATATCACAAATAACCTAAACTTTAAGTAAGAAAAACAGTATTCACTTTATATAAGATACACACTCACCAGGAGACGCAGGGTTGGTTCCTGTAAGGTTCCAAAAAGGAAAGCTAGTAGCTGGAGCCAAAGGTAGCTGTACTCCCAAGTATTTAAGATCAATGCTCATTGTTGGATCCACTGAATTCAATTTTAAGCCCACTATAAGGAAAAAAGGATCATAAATCATATCATCTCCCTTTTCTTTTTTAAATCTTTGTGAAGGGGAGTCAATAAAGAAGACAGTGAAGAGCAAAAATGATGAAATAAAAATAAACAGTAGCAGGGTCACTTTAAAAGGGGGTCCCATGATCCACATCTTTTGGTATTACATTTGTATAACCCCCTCCTTGACTGTGGGCAGGGTCTGTGATTTGTTTCCAACCAATGGAATGTGGGAAACAGAATAGGATGTACATGATTATTATGTATGTGATAACATAAAAGGATAGCACCTATCTTGCGAGAGCTGCAAGGAAATAAATTTTGCTAACAAGCTGAGGAAAACTCAAGTCTCTAATGAGAAAGTAGGCCTGGTGAACATCTTGATTGTAGCCTTATGAAACTCTAAGCAGAGGAACCAACTAAGCCATGCCCAGACTCCTCATACATAGAAACTGTGATAGTGTATATTGTTTTAAATTACTAAGTGTATAGTAATTTTGTAAACAATAGATAACTAATACATAAAGAACACAATTGTGATCTTTTGTGCTTTAACACTTTGTGGTCCTCAGGTTTTCTAGGATTTCTAATACAAACTTGCCACAAACTAAGCAAATAGACTTACAGTGGCTACTGATTCTCTAGTTATTATTGACACTTATGGTTACTTGAGCCTATCAATATAATGACTTCTTTATTTACAGGGTAAGAAGAAATCTTTTGGAAAAATATTTAACTTAAATTTCAACAAAATTGAAGCCAAAAGAAGTTCAAAGTACTTAGTATCATAGTAAAACCATTAAGTCACAGGTATAGGTTTCCAATAAAAAGCTCACACAGTGCTAGTTCCCTAAAAACGAAGCATTAGATAGATTATAAGCCACAAATTCTTATGGCTAATTTGTGTATCCTCCACATAGAATTTATCTGAACAAAAGATGGCAACCCGGGTACTGTGGCACCCACCTGTAGTCCTAGCTACTCAGGAAACTGAGGCAAAAGAATCATTTGAGCCCAGGAGTTCAAAGCCAAGCTAGGCAAAACAGCAAGACACTGTCTTTAAAAAAAAATTTAAATGGCTGGGCCTGGTGGCTCATGTCTATAATCCTAGCATTTTGTAAGGCCAAGGAAGGAGAATCACTTGAGGCCATGAGTCTGACACCAGCCTGGGCAAAATAGTGAGACTCCCTGTCTACAAAAAGCATAAAAAAAAAATTAGCCAGCAAGTATGCTGGCAGGAGCCTGTAGTCCCAGCTACTTGGGAGGCTAAGGTGGGAGGATCCCTTGAGCCTAGGAGTTTTAGGTTACAGTGAGCTTTGATGACACCATCATAGCAATGGGCAAGAAAGTGAGGAAGTGAGACCCTATCACAGAAAAAAAACAAAAAAAACCTGGTTATTCTGTTTTAGTTTGCAGTTCCAGTTCTTTAAAACATATATTTTTATTGTACTGAGTCAAAACAACTGGTATCTAATCTAATCTTACTACTGCTTAATTGTATGACTTGAGCTAAACTTCTTAATTTTAGTTCCTTAAATAAAATAAACACCAATACACCACACTGGGTTGTATGCTTTGAGAATTTATTGCACCTTCTCTGTAATGCAGATGGTCTTCGAGAGATAAAAGACATTTCCCAGACTTCAAGGAGTATTAGTGTTATATATTCTCAACTCACTTTTAGAAGTTACAGTTGGGTAATAAGTCCTATAAGAGATAAACAAAAGAAACAGACTGAAAATCCCAAGGCAACCTGGTAAAACTACTGAAAAGTGTAGTTGTAAGTTAGAATGAGCAAGAATTAACTAGGAAAGGTGAAGAGGGGGACCAAAGGATGGAACCAGAAAACAAAGACCTACTGCAAAAATTCAAGTGAGAAATGAATCCTAAACAAAGGATTTTTTTTTTTTTTTGAGACAGAGTCTCGCTTTGTTGCCCAGGCTAGAGTGAGTGCCATGGTTTCAGCCTAGCTCACAGCAACCTCAAACTCCTGGGCTCAAGCGATCCTTCTGCCTCAGCCTCCCAAGTAGCTGGGACTACAGGCATGTGCCACCATGCCTGGCTAATGTTTTCTATATATATTAGTTGGCCAATTAATTTCTTAGTAGAGATGGGGTCTTGCTCTTGCTCAGGCTGGTTTCAAACTCCTGACCTCGAGCAATCCACCAGCCTCGGCCTCCCAGAGTGCTAGGATTACAGGCATGAGCCACTGCGCCCAGCCCTAAACAAAGGATTAAATGTGATACCATAGTACTTAAAGAAAAATATTATTTATTATTAATGACAAAAACTGCCAGAATACCTGCCTACAGAGAAAATAGAAAGAATAAAGTTGTTAAAAATGTACCCATACTAGCAAGTAGGCAGACATATAAAAAAAATATAGACTTATACAAATCAAATATGTGCTTCCTACATATTTATCCATATTACTTGTATATTCTGAACTTCCCCAAAAAAGTGATACCAAGTCCTAAAACTAACAAAAAGACCAAATACATTTTACAAATACACATTTTCTTAAGAGCTCTATAAAGTAGTAAGGTCAATGGTATATAAATCTTGTTCAAAGTAATTTCCAATTTAGCTTATCTAGACTATCCTGAAATGTTTGCTCTATAAGAAATCCTTCCCCAAGTAACAGTTATGTAAGACCTGGACCTGCCGGCTCGGTGGCTCACCCCTATAATCCCAGCCCTCTGGGAGGCCAAGGCAGGTGGATCACTCAAGCAGGAATTTAAACCAGCCTGAGCAAGAGAGAGACCCCATGTCTACTAAAAATAGAAATAAATTGACCAACTAAAAATACATAGAAAAAATTATCCGGGCATGGTGGCACTTGCCTGTAGTCCCAGCTACTTGGGAGGCTACGGCAGAAGGATTACTTGAGCACAGGAGTTTGAGGTTGATGTGAGCTAGGATGATGCCACGGCACTCTACCCTGGGCAACAGAGTGAGACTCTGCCTCAAAAAAAAGGGAAAAAAAGGAAAAAAAGAAAAAAAAAGGCCAGGCGAAGTGGCTCATGCCTGTAATCCCAGCACTCTGGGAGGCCGAGGCGGGTAGACTGCTCAAGATTAGGAGTTCAAAACCAGCCTGAGCAAGAGTAAGACCCCATCTCTACTAAATACAGAAAGAAATTAATTGGCCAACTAAAAATATTAGGAAAAATCAGCCAGGCATGGTGGTGCATGCTTGTAGCCCCAGCTACTTGGGAGGCTGAGGCAGAAGGATCGCTTGAGCCCAAGAGTTTGAGATTGCTGTGAGCTAGGATGAGGCCACAGCACGCTCTAGCCAGGGCAACATAGCGAGACTCTGCCTTAAAAAAAAAATAAGACCTGGACTTAGCTAATTTCATATGAATGAGCATAAATAACTTTAGCTTGCAGAAAATGAGAGCTGAACAATTTACAGAAAGCATATCGTGAAAAGGCCTAAAATCTTTTCTATATATGACAGTTTAAACTAAATTATACTCCTAAATGCTTTTGCCTCATTTCACCATATTAGAAGCTCCTTTTTATTTTATCTTTTTTGACATAGAGTCTTGGTCTGTCATCCCAGCTAAAGTGCAATGGCCTCATCATAGCTCACTGTGACCTCAAACTCCTGACCTCAAGAGATTCCCTCACCTGGGCCTCCCAAATTGCAAGGATTATAGGCTCGAGCCACCATGCCCAGCCTAGAAGCTACTTTTTACACCATTACAAAAAAGACTCATAAAGATAGAACTAAAAAAGAGAGGCTTTAGATTCATGCAAAGGCAGATTCACCTAATATAAAATAGTATGGCAAAAAATGCCTTCTAGTTAAACTCAAAGAATCCACAAAAATATACTCAAGATGAAACATCTATGTAACTAATAAACATAGACCAGAAAAGCATATGATATAAGGAAAACTCCAGCTAATCACTGACTTAATACCACATTCAGAATGTAACTAAAAAGGAAAAGGCAGCTATTGAAAGACTGTCATTCTTTCAAGCCAGGCATGGTGGCTCACGCCTATAATCCTAGCACTCTGGGAGGCTAAGGTGGGATTCCTGCCTCGCTTGAGCTCAGGAGTTCGAAACCAAGCCTGAGCAAGAGCAAGACACCATCTCTACTTAAAACAGAAAAAATTAATCAGTGTGGTGGTGTGCACCTGTACGTATTCCAGAGACTGAAGCAGCAGGATCATTTGAACCCAGGAGTTTGAGGTTGCTGTGAGCTAGGCTGATGGCACAGTGCTCTTAGCCTCAGCAACAGAGACAGAACACTGTCTAAAAAAACATTTTAAAATAATAAAAATTTTAAAAATAAATGAAAAAAAATGAGCTGGGCATGGTGGTGTGTGCCTATAGTCCTAGCTACTGGGGAAGCCAAGGTAGGAAGATCGCTTGAGCCCAAGAGTTTGAGTTTGCAGTGAGGTATGATGACATCACTGCACTCTACCCAAGGTGAGAGTGAGAGTGTAGCCCCCCAATAAAACAAAACACCACAAAGAGAACACCAAGGAAAGGAAAAACATCTAGAGACTATAGAGACTATTACCTTCTTGGAGACCAGGATGTATCACCTGCTTATGCCTCAAGGACTTCAAATCTTCTATCAATTCCTTTTCCAACTGGGAAATTCTTGCTCTGCAGCCTACTCACAAAGCAAACAATGATTAAAATAAACTATTGTATACTACAGAAGTATGAATGTTGCATTTCACTAACAGAGTCCGAACCACAAATACATCTCATTTTATATGGTTTTATAATACCTGGGTCATTTGTGGTTGATGCCTGAAGACTAGATGGTTCTTCTGTTGTCCCATCGACTGCATGAATATCTAGAGCTTCCTATACATATTAAAAAAAAAAAAAAAAGTTCCTATCACTTTAAAAGTAAACCAGGATTTAAAAAGGAAAATTAACGACCAGGAGAAAAATATACCATGTTTACAATGATAACTCTTAACAGAATTCATGAGGAATTTTGCCATGCTTTTTGATATTTTCTAAATGTTCTACATTAATAATCAGAAGGAAAAAACAAAAAAAAATCTAAATAGAATATACTCAGCTAACTAATCTCAAACTGTATTTATACTAATTTGCATGCTGATATCTCAGAACCTATATAAAGATAGCTTCTTCAGCAACCAACACAGAGGAATAGGTAGAAAGAATTAAACATCCAACATCTGTGTAACCAACTATGAAAGACTAGGCTTCTAAAATATCTAAAAGAAAAATAACCTGGTTGAAGAGCTGCAAGTAGAATAAACACACTATCAATGTATAAGATGGCAGAGTAAAGCAGACTATATTAATTGGTTCTCCAATGGTACTATACTACTAGCAATGAAAACAAGGTGGGGGAGGGCATGCACAAGGTGAAAAGGTTGGGGTATCCCTAAAGTTAGTAAACTAGTCATGTATTTTTATGCTTTTTTAAAGTCCATAATCACGAAAAATTCCAATAAGACTCAAAGATTTAAAAAAATCCAGCTAAACAGTAGAAATTAACTGAGATTTAGTAGACAAAATTTTTAAAGTCTATTCAAATGCAATATCTTAAGTGATATCTATTAACTAAACCAAACATTTTGCAGGCACTTCCCCCCAGCACACACACAACACATACCCCCTGGCAAATAGATGCATTCACAAAACTAGATTCTCATTCAGTTTTCAGCCAGTATACAACTCAAGAATAACTAATTAGCCTTAAAATGCTGGAAATTACAATCTTACCTTAGATTCAAAGGAAACAAAGAGAACACCATCCACATCTTCCAGATCAGGCTTTACATCTGGAAACGTACTTCCAGGGCCTACAGGGGTGTTCTTTGTAGCAGTTAGAGACTTTCCTGTGTTTTTAGGTGGTCGCCCTGCCTTAGAAAGTTTCAGTTTCCGTGGTCTTCCTCTTTTTCCAGGGACATTTGAAGGGGCATTCTGACTAACACTCACAGCCTTTGGTGCCACTGCAATCTTTAGCATAGTTGTTCTCTTTCTGCCCAAGTCCTCTTTTTCTGAAAGTGAGTCCCCAGTTGAATCTTTTGAACTGTCAAGTATTCTTTCAGTGCTAATGCTGTCAGATATATCAGGATATTTCCACGGAGTCTCTTTAAGTAAGGGATATTTTTGTACCACTCTGAGATCTGGTGAATGTCTTCCAAGACCATTTTCTGATTCCTTGCCTAAGCAGAAGCCAGTCTCACTGGAATTTTCAATGTATGTAGGCAAATATTCTAATTCTGCCAACATAGAAGATTTATCCTTTCGAGATGCGGAAAGCATGTTATCAGGCAGCTCAGAAATCTTCACTGTGCTTTTGGTGACAGCACAAGGCTCCAGATAGACTACTGGCATCTTTCCACTGTCTAATTTGAACATTTTCGCTTTCGCAACACCTGATGGACTGCTTGGTAGCCAATTAGAAGACAGATGGTCAGCTTCTAGGTTATCAACTTTATTGTGTCTCTTTAGTTGTTTCTCTAGTATGGGATCGTCATCGCTGTTTGAGTATACATCTGTCTCTTCATCTGTCTCTTCCTGTTTCACAGTGACCCCTTCTGGGCACTCACCAATTTCATAGTCATAATCATCCAGAGGTTCCTCTTTAATGACAACATTGAAGCTTCCATTTGGGTCTAATGGTGAGACTATACGGGAACCATCTTCAAAATTGTTGGCAACAAGACTGGAGAGACAGGGAATGACGGATAAAAAATATAAAACTATCCATAAACAAGATTCGATGAGGAAAAAAAAAAAGATTTTTAGAAACCATAGCCAGGCACAGTGGCTCACACCTGTAATCCTAGCACTCTGGGAGGCCACAGCAAGAGGATCACTCAAGCTCAGGAATTCGAGACCAGTCTGAGCAAGAGCAAGACTCCATCTCTACAAAAAGTAGAAAAAATTAGGCAGGCATGATGGCATGAGCCTATAGTCCCAGCTACTCAGGAGGCTCTGGCAGTAAAATTGCTTGAGTTTGAGGTTGCAGTGAGCTATAACGAAGCCACTGTACTCTAGCCAGGCCGACAGAGTGAGACTCTGTCTTGAAAAAAAGAAAAAGAAAAAATAATTAAAAAAAAAGAAACCAATAACACATCAGGTTTCATGAGCCATTCCTCAAAAGCAATTGTATTTATAACCTACCTAACAAGATTCTTGAAAGCAGTTAGTTTATCAACATAACACTTTTATATTTTGTCAAATTTTCTCAAAAATGGCTGGGAGTGGTGGTTCACACCTGTAATCCTAGCACTCTGGGAGGCTTAGGCCGGTGGATCACTCAAGGTCAGGAGTTGGTAACCAGTCTGAGCAAGAGAGAGACCCCCATCTCTACTAAAAATAGAAAAAAATTGGCCAACTAACAATATATAGAAAAAATTAGCCAGGCATGGTGGCACATGCCTGTAGTTCCAGCTACTCGGGAGGCTGAGGCAGAAGGATTGCTTGAGCCCAGGAGTTTGAGGTTGCTGTGAACTAAGCTGACTCCACAGCACTCTAGCCCGAGCAACAGAGTGAGACTCTGTCTCAAAAAAATTGAAATTAAAAAAAAATTTTTTTTCACAAAAATATATAAAATATCATGAAATCAAAATGCAGTCTACATTATAAGATTGTTTATTTTAGGCATTTTTCCAATAAACTCACAATTTTGAAAGTCAGCTAGCACTGACCCAAAATCAAACTGTGAAAATCCATACACTGATTAACAACTCAGTAAAGCAAATATATTTCCATCACAACTAAGAATTTCAATAAACAGAAAAGGGCTTTAAAACTTCCAGCTCATTTTTTACTTTGTGTTTGAGATAAAATTCATGTAACATAAAACCTAACATCTTAACCAATTTAAAGTACACAATTCAGGCTGGGCGTGGTTAATCCTAGCACTCTGGGAGGCCGAGGTAGGCAGATGGCTCAAGGTCAGCCTGAGCAAGAGGAGACCCCCATCTTTGCTATAAATAGGAAGAAATTAATTGGCCAACTAAAAAACATATAGAAAAAATTAGCCGGTCATGGTGGCACATGCCTGTGGTCCCAGCTACTCGGGAGGCTGAGGCAGTAGGATTGCTTGAGCCCAAGAGTTTGAGGTTGCTGTGAGCTAGGCTGATGTCACGGCACTCCAGCATGGGCAACAGAGTGAGACTCTGTCTCAAAAAAAATAAAGTACATAATTCAGTGATTTTTAGTATATTCATAATATTGTTGCCTAATAATTTTTTAACTTTAAAATCGAAAAACTCAGGGGCCGGGCGCGGTGGCTCACGCCTGTAATCCTAGCACTCTGGGAGGCCGAGGCGGGCGGATTGCTCAAGGTCAGGAGTTCAAAACCAGCCTGAGCGAGACCCCGTCTCTACCATAAAAATAGAAAGAAATTAATTGGCCAACTAATATATATATATAAAAATCAGCCGGGCATGGTGGCGAATGCCTGCAGTCCCAGTTACTCGGGAGGCTGAGGCAGGAGGATCGCTTGAGCCCAAGAGTTTGAGGTTGCTGTGAGCTAGGCTGATGTCACGGCACTCACTCTAGCCTAGGCAAAAAAAAAAAAAAAAATCGAAAAACTCACTCTGAACGTAAAGAATCCACCACTATTCTTCCAAATAAAAGGCTGAAGGCAGTTGACCCACATATATTGTATATAATTCATTAAACAAAACATTATACACATCTAGTTTTCCCCTCTTCCTAATTAGCCATTGATAGCATAAAAAACCATACCAATGTAACTTGAGGATATGGTAGGACTAAAGAATTAGGTTAATTATCCAAGATTCCACATAAAGTAACACAGCTGGAATTAAAATTCTTAGAAATTCCAAAACTTTTAATCTCTGCACCTCTAATTTTTTCCCAAAAAATATCCACACAAGTCAGCATATTAACAACAAAGAAAAGCAGGATGAAAACTGCTTTGAGAAAAACTATACAAAAACCCACAATACATATTAACTAACAAATACTATATACCAAAATAGGATTGTAGACTTTTTTTTTCATTTCAAAGTCTATCACTGAAAATAGCATTTGTGTAACTGAAATATTTTGATCAGTCACTTTTTAAAAAGTTAAGTAGGTAAGTTTCTATTAGTAATGTAAAATAGCTCATAGCAGACCAAACTTCCTCCATTTAGAACTAGAAAAGCTAGGCATCAAAGTTTTTTCCCCCAGAATATATTTTTAAATCTATTTGAAGACATCAAAAAGCCAGGAAAGCAGTGATGACTTGGGGGGCCAGAACATAAACAAGGACAATCTATTTAGATACCAAATAATTTAGGCACTGTTATTATACATCCACTACCATTATTAGTGAAGTTATCTTCCTAAAATATTGAACTATATTAATTTTACTTTCCTGTTCAAAAGCATTTCAAAGGTTTCTGAAACTAAAGAAAAAAGTATAAATATCCTGGGGTGCTTTTCAAAGCTCAATATAATCTATCCTCAGCCCTTCCAGCCACACCTTTAAACCTGTGTTATACTCTAGGATCCAACCACACATACAACTTTATTTTCATGTCTCAGTCCAATAAAATACATTTCTAACACCAATCCATCATTAATGAAGCACCGATTCTTTTTCACTACTTGCTAGCCCAATTAAAGTCACCGTCTTTATAAAACTTTTATCTCAAATATACACAAGCAACCATTACATGAATTTGTAGTTACTTGTTCCTCCTCCAATTTACTTAAGATCTTAACCTTACTCAAAAATCCCTCAATGGTGGACTTTGAACTCCAGTTAGAACGTGGAAGATCACAAAAGACCATCACTTCTGCCCTAACAATGAGAAAACACTAAATTATTTTTAAAAACCACTGAAAACCTCTGGACGTAAATAAGTCTAAATGAACTGAATTCCAGAAGGAACAGCCTTTTCTGGGTGACCAGAGATTGCTACTGCTTTCAATCCTGAGTAGCACTTGGCACTGCCTGAAGCTAAAGTGAGAAGAGAAAAAAGCAGCTATAGTCAGAGGATCTTTGTGGAAACACAGAGAAACCAGCCAAACTTTCAATGCCTAAGCATAGGTATACTAGAATCTGGAGGAACCCAAACTTAAAACTAGTCTTCTGGCCAGAGAAGATGGTTCATGCCTGTAATCCCACACTTTGAGAGGCTGAGGCAGGAGGACAGCTTGAGGTCAGGAGTTCAAGACCAGCTTGGGCAACATGGCAAGATATCCTATCTTTTTTTTTTTTTTTAAAACTAGTCCTCCCTACCACCCAATTATGACTTCTGTAGAATAAGCAGTAATGTTGCAGGAAGCTTAGCCTAAAAAGAAAGAACCTGTAGTCTCCCAGTGCTTAGGTGGCAAGGTTGCCAGAAATAGGAGCCCAATCACACTCGTAACATAGCTGAAATCAGAGTGAGCTGAAATTTACTGAAGTGGTAATAAGCCATTTGAAATCACCTAGACTGAAGAAGAGAGAAAAATAGTGTCAGAGATCTGTGGGACAACATCAAATAAGGTAATGTACTAGTAACTGTACTTCCGAGGGAGGGAGGGAGGGAGGGAGGGAGGGGGGGGGAGAGAGAGAGAGGAAAGAAAGAGAGAAAGAGAGAGAGAGAGAGAGAGAGAGAGAGAGAGAGAGAGAGAAAATTCTATTTACAGTAGCATCAACAATAAAAAAATATTTAGGAATAAATTTAACCAAAGAAGTGTAAGACTCGCACATGGAAAACTATAAAACACAGTTGAAACAAATTAAAGATCTAAATAAATGGAAAAATATCCCGTGTTTATGGACTAGAAGACTTAGTATTGTTTGGGGGGGGGGTGTTTGTTTGAGACAAAGTCTCGCTCTGTCTCTCCACCTACAGTGCTGTGGCGTCAGCCTAGCTCACAGCAACCTCAAACTCCTAGGCTCAAGTGATCCTCCTGCCTCAGTTAGTATTTTTTATCTTCAGTATAGACAGGTCTCACTCTTACTCAGTCTGGCCTCAAACTCCTGAGCTCAAGCCATCCTCCCACCTCAGCCTCCCAGAGTGCTAGGATTACAGGGGTGAGCCACACACACCCACACACTCTTAACATTGTTAACATAGCAATAATCTCTAAATGGTCTATAGATTCAATGAAATTCCTACCCAAATCACACCTGGTATTTTCTGTAAAAATTGACAAGCTGATCCCAAAATTCACGTGAAAACGCAAGGGACCCACCAAAACAATCTTTTTTGTTTTTGCTGTTTAAAAGAGACAGCATCTCACTCTGTCACCCCGTCTGGAGTCAGTGGCACAATCATAGCTCACTGAAGCCCTGAACTCCTGGGCTCAAGTGACCATCTTTCAGCCTCTCAAGTAGCAGACATCACACCTGCCTAATTTTTTTTAACATCTTTTTTAGGGATAGGGTCTCACTATGTTGCCCAGTCTGGTCTCAAAACCCAGGACTCAAGAAATCCTACCACCTCAGCCTCCCATGTTGCTGGGATTACAGGTGTGAGCCATCACACTCAGCTCAAAACCACCTTGTACAAAGTTATTAGAGGACTCACACTTCCCAACTTGAACGTATTACAAAAATACAGTAAAATTTAACTGATAATCCTTTATACAACATTACATCCAACAACAATACTTGTATCCTTTAAGTATACATGAAGTATCACTCACAACAGACCACATGCTAGATAATAAAACAAACCCTTGATAATTTCCCAAGGTTTTAAGTCA